GTGGAATATTAGGTAGTTTGTGTTGTGTAACACCCCGATTCTCAGGTATTGATTTTATATACAAATTTTCTTGATTTCAAGGTCTACTCGATGAGTTGGTTTCCCTACTCATCGAGTAGCAGCGGGTTGGTCCACGTGTTTTAGTGACCTACTCGCCGAGTCCAAGAAGGGACTCGATGAGTAGGAGCTGGCAGATGAAACCCTAAATTCCGGTGTATTGCACCCTATTTAAAGGATCATTGGGCTCCCCCAGCCTCCCCTTTACAGCTCCTTGGCACCCTTAAACCCTAAATCGTGTGTGTGTGTGTGTTTATTTGGTGTGTTAAAGCTTGGAAGAGGGATCTTGGAGAGGAAACACTTGGGGAAAACAAGTAAATTGAAGCTAGGAACTTGTGGGAAGCAAAGATCTACTTCATTTGACACTCTCTTGAAGGTATTAGGTTGTATCCTTGGCTCATTTCATCTTTAATCTCTTTTGGGTGGGTTATTGGAAAGGTTTCTTGTGTTTGAGTCAAGATTTGAAGTTGCAACTTCAGATCTGGACTCCCCTTGGCCTCTAGATCCATAAAGTTATCAGCTTTGGCAAGTATGAGCCTTCACTCAAGTGCACGACTTCTTTGCAAGCTTAGTTTTATCATTTTAAGGCTTTAGAGCTTTGCATGCACGTAACGTTTGCAACTTTACGTGATAAGCATGCCTTGGGAAGCTGGATCTGCAATATGGAGCCTTTGCATGGCTTAAAAAGCATATATATGGATGAAGGACTGAAGGGACTCGACGAGTAGCATGGTCAACTCGGCGAGTCCGATGAAGATTGTCGTGGGCTCGGCGAGTCGGATGAGTGACTCGGAGAGTCAGATGGGGTTTTCCTAACTATTGGACATATATGAACTTGGCGAGTTGCAAGGGAAACTTGACGACTTGGCCAAGGAAGTTTACGGCTGCAAACCTTAGGAACTCGACGAGTCACTTTAGTGACTCGGCGAGTTGGTAAGTTATACATGGAACTCGGTGAGTAGCTGAGGGTACTCAACGAGTTGAGGTTGACATGGACTGTTGACCTTGATAGTTGACTTTGACTTTGACCAAGGGTAGACCAGTTCACTTCTGGGGACATTTTGGGAGATTGGAAATTTACAAGTATGGTTTTGCAATGAATATAGGTGGTGGAGTTTGGGATGGTAATCCGAGAGTTTGAGCTTATCTTACGAGTCGACAGTTGCAAGGTGAGTTATCCTCACTATACTCAAGGGTCTAAGGCACCAAGGTCGGCCCTTTGGATTGTTATCTAGCTATGTTATGCTAGTATGATATGTTTGATCGGTATCCTAGAAAGTAGGATAATATTATGTGGTATGTTGTATGATTTATTAGATCGGTATCCTGGGAGATAGGATGGTATTATGTGTTATGTGGTATGATCCGTTAGATCAGTTGTTGTCTATAGACTGTTATTTTGTTATCTGTTATATATATATATATATATATATATATATATATATATATATATATATATATATATGCACATGTTTGTTTGGCGGTTGAGGCTTATCTACTATGTGCGGAGGCAAATAGACCTGGGGATTCAAAACCTGTTGGTTGTGGGCTATGAGTATTCCATCTTGAGGATGATTAGAGTCATAGTATGTGGGCATTCCAACTTGTTGGTTGTGGGCCTGGGGTATTCCATCCCGAGAATGATTGGACAAATAGTATGTTGGTATTCCAACCTGTTGGTTGTAGGCATGGGGTATTCCAACCCGATGGTTGACTGGACCCATAATATGTTGTTTATGATTATATATGTATTGCTGTGAGTATGGGTATTTTGGGGGAACTCGCTAAGATTCGGGCTTACCATTTCAGTTTATTATTTCAGGTACATCAGGGGATCGCGGCAAGGCGAAGGAGTGATCGTACAACACCTCATGTTTTATTACCATTTCTGGAAAAAACTCTGATATAGACTATTTTGGAAACAAATTTGTAATAACTATTGGTTTTAAATGTTTTGAAAATGTTTTAAATTGGTTTAAATTTTTATGGGTGTTACAAGTTAGTATCAGAGCCTTGGTTTGAGTGAATTAGAGGAACAATTCCTTTGATAGAACCTAGTATCATTACCACTAGAGTGTAAGATGAAAGTAACTTTTCACTCACTTGATAAGGTGGTGACTCGGTACTCGGACAATGCTTCTTTTACTTTAAAACAGCTCCTTTGACAGAAACTAGTATCATTACCACTAGAGTTTAGTCTAATGTTCGACGAGACTAATTAATAGTCTAACTATTATTACTAATATATAAACATTAAACAATACTCTTCACCCATTATTTATAGACAGGGCCCAAACATGAAACACTGGAGGGCATGATCATTTTGGCATATAGCACTTCTGAATCCAGCAACCCAAGCAGCCCTCCAAACCAGATTCCCCGTACCGCAAGTGGTTAAAAAGATATTATAGCGACACTTATATAACTCATAATAATAGCCTAAATACTCATTATAAGGTCCTAATAACATTACTATATTATAACATAAGCTATACTTAGGGTAGGCATAGCTCACTTACAACAGGTTTTCTTGAAAATCGGGCTCTACTGGAGTAGGGTTTCTGAGCCGAAGGGCTCTTTTCATGGGGATTTGGGAGCATCGGGGCTTCCTTCGGGTGCTAGGGTGTTTACCTAGGCTTGGGGGGGGGGGGGTTGGGGGCTTAGAGAGACAAAGTAGAGAGAGAAAGTGAAGTTGGGAAGGTGTGAAGAATGAGGGAACCCGGCACCTCTATTTATAGGCCGGAATCCTGCTCTACTCGTCGAGTAGGAGGTCCTACTCATTGAGTCCATGGCCGGGTGTCACTATTTGGTGGCTTGCCTTGGGGAGAAAGCCTTGGTTCATATTCAGCCACGTCACCCGATTTCGCACAGCACCCTGCCGACTGCTAAACCTCGTAACTTATGCATATGATATCCGTTTTATACGTTCTTTATATCCACGCTTAGGTAAAAACAGGATCTACAAGTTTCATTTAGACTCGTCGGCTAATTCTAGAACAATCTTAAATTTAACAGGAGGAGGAGATTAGACTGATAAATGACCGCGAAGAATTCGTAACTCCTTCATACGGACTCCATTTTTATCTGTCCTTTTATCGTTGAATTCCTATTAATGAGATCTTCAACTCTCATTTAGGTAGCATAGGCCAAAAACCGCTCGAACTAATATTTTGAGTTTCAGGTCGTGCATTGCTATTCCAAATCTTAGAAAATTCATAACTTCCTCATACGAAGTCAGATTTGGGCGTTCTTGTTTTATATGTTCTCGGTTTAACGTATACTACAACTTTTGTTTAGATTACTAAGGCTAAAAATTCCTCTATCATAAATTCACTAATTACGTCTCCCGGTGTCGTGCCGATTTTGCCGAAAAACTTTGACAAGCCATAACTTCTTCGTTATAACTCGAATTTCGGCGTTCTTTATATGTACGAAACCCTTGAGACATATTCTACAACTTGGTTAGGATTATTTATTCCAAACAATCTTTTGTCAAAAATTCGTTTTTGACCCCTATTATTTCTAAATTAACTAGCCACTGGCTCTTACGAGTAATGTATAGAATGTTCTGTTTGGAAACCCTAGTTACCACCAATATGTATAGAATGTTCTGTTTGAAAACCCTGGTTACCACCAGTATGTATAACAGCTTCATTACTTAAAATAAAACCATGTGTTGTATCCCTTAGAATCCTCCAGTAGTGTATAGTAGTTCTATTAATTAAAATAAAACTAATGAAGAATGAAATCCCGTAAACAAAGGTTAGTTTATACTATTGTGAGTCGTATAACCATGTGTTGAAAATTCTTAATGTTTAGGTGAAATTAGTAGTTGTTAACCTTAATATTACTTGTTTAATAGAAATTAGTAGTTGTTATTTGTTAACCTTGAAATTACTTGGAATCTTGGATGGCTTATTTGTTTGATATTGAATTGTTAGGATAAAACTGGGTCTTTTTTTGGAAGAACAAGCATCAATAAATCAAGTGTTGGAGAATCCTCCAAAAGACCATCCTCCAATGATTTAAGTTTTGAAGAATCCTTTAAAATACCATGTCCTTCTAATCAATCATTCCCTTCGGTTTCTAATGTAAATCCACAACCTACAACTACTCTAATTACAAATGTTGAATTGAAAAATCTTCCAAAAGACTCGGGTGTTAGACCAAAGATTACAACTCACCATCCAAATCAAAGAGATGAAATAAGGAAGGCATATTTGCTTCAAGGACCTTGTCAACCAAGGGGTCATATATTCCCTTCAAAGAAAATAGGTTCAAAAGAAAGACGTTTTGTTGTTAAGTGGTTTGATGACTTTGATTGGTTAGAATATAGCATAAAAGAGAACCAAGTATTTTGTTTATTTTGCTATGTATGTGGAGACATGGTGGGAAAACAACATGGGAGAGATGCATTTGTTGCACAAGGTTTTGATAGTTGGAATAAAAGACAATCATTGATAGATCATATGGGTGGTATTGATAGTTTTCATCACAAAGCAAAAGAAAATTGTGAATTTTTATTGAAAGAAAAACAATCTATTAGTGCAGCCTTCAAGAAGCAAACCAAGATTGAGGAGAGTAATTATAAACTTCGTTTAGGTGCTTCAATTTGGTGTTGTAAATTTTTATTGAAAAATGGTTTACCATTTCGGGGTCATGATGAGTCGAGTGACTCTCTTAATAGAGGGCTTTTCTTGGAGTTATTATCTTTCTTGACAGACCATAATGAAGGCATGCACAATGTTATTATAGAAAATGCTCCTCAAAATAATCAAGTGACGTACCCGAGGACTCAAAAGCAAATTGTTGAATGCTTTTCAACAAAGATAGTTTTAGATATTTGCAAAGAAATTGGTAAAGATGTGTTTTCTTTATTGGTTGATGAATCTAGTGATGTATATAAAAAAATATAAAAAAAAAAAAAAAAAAAAAAAGAACAAATGGCCATAGTTTTGAGGTATGTCGACAACCGTGGAGTGGTGAAGGAAAGATTCATTAGAGTGGTGCACGTGAAGGATACATCCTCTTTGACTCTTAAAGTAGCCATAGATGACGTTTTTACCCGTAACAATTTGAGTATGTCTCAGGTAAATATAACATTTTTTCTTCTTTATTATGAATTTTAATTGAATATTATTCGCTTTAGTGTTTGATATCTTTTTTTATCAGGTAAGAGGACAAGGTTATGATGGCGCAAGCAATATGCGAGGTGCATTTAATGGTCTAAAAGCTTTGATTTTAAAAGATAATGATTCAGCACATTATGTGCATTGCTTTACACACCAACTTCAGTTAGTTATTGTGGGTGTAGAAAAGAAGCATGATGGTGTTGACGATTTCTTTGAGCAACTTTCGTTGGTGGTCAATGTGGTAGGTGGTTCATGTAAAAGACATGACATGCTATGGGAAAGTCAAAGATAAAGGGTGCATTTGGAAATGGTGAACTTGAAATTGGAAGAGGGTTAAACCAAGAGAGCTCGCTTATTCGAGCGAGAGATACAAGATGGGATTCACATTTCAAAACCATCACAAGTTTGATGAACTTATTTCCGGAGGTTCGTCATGTTCTTGCTTATGTCAAAGAGGAAGGATCCACTTTAAGTAACCGAAATCAAGCATTTTGTATCTTAAAATATTTCAAGACATTAGATTTTGTGTTTTACTTACATTTGATGTATGAAATTTTACACCTCACGAACGTATTGTCAAAGCATCTTCAAAAAAAGGATCAAGATATTTTAGAAGCGGCTTCTTTGGTTAGAGGGATAATGGACGCATTGAAGTCTTTAAGAGACATGGGGTTTGCTAAACTTGTATCGAAGGTATTCTCTTTTTGTCAAAAACATGATATTAATATTGTGGAGATGACGAAAAATTATGTCACATCAAGAGGCCGTAAGACTAAAGTTACTAATCAATTTCATTTTGAAGTTGAAATTTTCAACTCTGTCATGGATATGCAAATTATAGAATTCGGGGACCGATTTGGTGAACTTAGCACCCAATTGCTAGAATACATGGGGGCTTTGACAAAACAAAGCTGTTAAAGTTGAGTGAGTTATACACAAAAGATTTTGATGATGTGGAGATGATGCAACTTGATGGTGAACTTGAAATATATTATCACGCTTTGCATAAAGATGGTCGGTTCACTAGTTTGCAAGGAATTTCCGACCTTTCTTGTTTGATGGTGGAAACGGGGACACATCGGTCTTATCCTATGGTTTATAGGTTGTTGAAGTTGGTTTTGGTTTTACCCGTTGCAACCGCAATGGTCGAAAGATGTTTTTCAGCGATGAAGTTTTTGAAGACGGATTTACATAACAAAATAGGTGATGATTTTTTGAACGATGTCATGATTTCTTATGTTGAAAAAGAAGCACTTATGAAAGTGAAGATCGAAGATGTAATGGATCGATTTCAAAAATGTGTACCCATAGATGTCAAATTTAGATATTAAGATGTAATAGATCGATTTGATGTAGTAGTACTTATAACTTTTTTTATGTTATTATATTCAGACGAAAAAAAAATTGTGCCATTGTTGTGACAACTTTCTGCGTCCGCCACTGGTCGCCATCATCACCACCACTGCCACAATTATCGTTGCCACCACCACCACCGCCGTCGCCATCATTGACACCCCGACTACCCCCCGCCACCGCCCCCAGCCCCACGACCCCCACCCTACCACTACTATCCCTTTCTCAAAATAGAAACCGATAGAAAATACACATCTAAATACGTCTTTTTAATTTTCTAAAACTAAAAATGAAAATTAAATAAGTTTTAACTAACGCATTTTCTAAATTTTCTAATGAAAACTAAAACCAGAAAAGAAATACTAAAAAAGATAAACAAAAAATAAAAAATAAAAACTGTTTTCGTAACTAAACACAATCTATATCTTTTATGTCATTAACACCTTTGATGGTATATCATGTAATTCAAGAGGCATTCATCCAACATAATTCTCGAATATAACTTCATAACTTCAACTTCAAACATTATGCTTTCATTTCAATAACAATCCCATCACTCCAACGTCTAACATAAATAACCATTAAAAAAAAAAAAAAATACACTACAACAACCAACACGATTTCCAATAACATATCAAATAACACGTGTCAACTGTTTTCCACACCACTAAACCACTCTCACTTGTGTAACACACATAAACAATTACCCTCTCCAATATCCGAAGCAACACAAGGCGACTGAAGCTTCCCATTTCCATACCAAACCACACGTTTCTCAATAAGCTCATCCACAAAATCATCCAACTTATCAATCGTTATATTCGGCATCACCACAACATGAGCAATGCTTCCCTGACATGCAAGCTGCCATTTTCGTGTAAACTCCTCATCTTGTGGGCGTTCAAAGACCACTGTGCTACTGAGCTCATTAAGCATAGCACCAATTCCAGCACTGGTTAGCCTGCCTTTTAAGTAGTGGGCATTTCTGAGGCATTTTTGGACCTCTTTTTGGAACCCTCGATACCCTTTTCGGTTTAAAGTGTACCAAAGGAACAATGGAGCATGACCATTTCGACTTCCCATGATTGTTGCATCTCGTGAAGCGAGATATTCAACGTTTCTTGAAAGTGCGTTGATGTGTTCTAATCGTGTTATTTGAACGCCACATGGCATTGGACACCCGACAAATTTGTGACCCGAAACACTCACGGATCCAATCGGTTTCTTGAAAGATACCTTCGGTGCCTAAATTGTACAAGAAAAAAAATAAATACATATTATGAAACTTATACAAAAACCACATATACTTACAAGTTTAACAAAAGGCATCATTAGTCCAAACAAAGCCCCATCACAGTGGATATAAAATCGGTCATGTGTGAATCCGGTTTCTTCAAGGGTCTTGATGACCAGATCAAGATCATCTACAGCTCCTTTCACTGTTGTTCCTGTAAATTTGTTTGAAAAAAAATGTAAATAACAGGATGGACAAGGTTTTTAGGATTATTTTTTATGAGAAAGATTAGAAGGGCATTCATGTCTTTTTTTGTAAGAATCCAATGCACATCAAAAGTATTGTGAGAGAACCTATGTTCACGTTGATGATTGCAGGTTTGTCCTTGTGAAGAGAAAGTTTAGCTTTAAAATCTTCACAATCGATCTCCCCAGAAAGGAGCGTGTTGACTTTTTCACAATCCATTCGATACATTCTTGCTGCTTTGAAAATGGAATAATGTGATTCGCATGAAGCATATAAAATCCCATCAGGAAACACTTCTCTCCTGTTACATTTACACGATATATAAAGTATTCAAGTGGTAAAAATCCAGGAAATGAGATAAAAGCCTAAAATCATACAAATTACCCGACTAGTATGCCATGAAGATTGCCTTCTGTTCCACAATTTGTAATGTAACCCCAGTATTCGTTCTTTTCCAGTTCCCATAAACGAGCAAACCAGTCCAATACACCAACCTCAAACTGTCTGGAATGGACACCATAATTGCTCTCGATGAATGGGTCCCCAAGGTTGTTAATGGAGAAATGTTGTAACTGAGACAACGCACCATAATCGAAGTCCAGATTATAAGGATACCCTAATAAAAATTTACAATTTTCAGGAGCAAAATTGACATCGATTGTGTAGCCAAAATGGGGTTTTAAATAAAGAAGAAGATCATGAACATAAAGTTAACAAATAAGAGGCAAAAAGATTGTTACCCAAATGATGTTTTGTCCTTTCGAGCAAGGATTTTCTATATCTGGCCAACACGCTGGCCATATAAGCTTCTCTTTCTCCGGTAACCTCATCATCAGCATCAGGCTCTGTTACCTCGAGGCAAGTAGTGTGCACATTTCTTCCTAGAATAATTTCCCTCGGTTTCTCTTTCCCATTAATCGATTTTACACCGTTTATATGGGGAGCGTTATCAGCAATCGGCGGCAGAGGATCATTGATCACAGTAGTCGGATCAAAATCCTCCGGTAAAGATTCGACCGTTTCCAGGTTGAGATTACGTAACATCATATCGATACTTCCAGCCATTGCTACTCCCAAAAAAAAGGAAATCACATTAAAGGTCCGGTCAGAAAAGCAATTAAATGTCTACAATTTATTGGGCGACATTCGTTGTAGTGATCAGATCAAGAAAACCTGTTAGGTTCTAAAAAGTTTAGGTGGAAATCATCTTTTAAATGGAACGATTAACCAAATAGGCGATTGTTGTAGCTAATTGACACGAATGGGATCAGTTAATTGGGTTGTAAACTAAGATCTTATATAAATTGTACATAAAAGTTTGTACCTTTTGATGGAGGCGGCGGAGCTGAGTTTGATGGGAAGTGGATGGCTACTCGACGAATGTGGTTCTGGGCAAGCGAAAAGGAGTTCTTGCATCTGCGATTATTGTATTATATACACAAATCGACTGTTGTGCGTGAATTTGGAATACGAGAGAGGGTTGGTTATAAACTTACAATTTTAGCCCTTTTTCTGTAACAATGTTTGATATAAGTCCCTGACCCTTTGATATTTTGAGTCGACACTAGATATTACGAAAAAAAAAAATGCATTTCTGGTCCCTATGATTTGTCAATAGTTATGGATCCCGATATTGAAACTAATTTTTTTTTACTAACGGTCTATTTGATTTCTCATTATTTCGCTCATGGTCCCTATCAAATCCGTAAAGCATTATATGATTATATAGATATTATTTTGGAAAGTTGATGCTTCTCATACGATTTATTGTTATTTTGGTTTGTTTTTTTCACACAAAAAATAACTAAAATCACATCAATTTTTCTAATATATAATCCAATATGCAAAATAAATCTTTCTATGAATAGAGATTTTGCTTCTAATCATAGCAAATTTCCACATTTATAATTTTTCTCTCTAAGTCTGTCAAAGTTAAATTATTAGGATTATTAGTCATTATATTTGAAAATTATGTTTTTGGTCCTTTATAATTCTTTTCAGTGTTGCAGAAATTGGCTTTGGCGGTTGATTAATCGTTTGGCGTCCTTAAACCGATTACGATTCGGGTGTTTGGCGGGAATTTGTCAAAGTCGGCCTAGGCGGTCCTTGGCAGTCTCGGCGGTCATAAACGGGAATTTTTTTAAAAGTTCAAAAATAATTAATTTTCAAATATTAAACCAAAATTTTAGATTTTCAAATTATTAAGCTTTCAAATTTTCAAATTTTTAAGCTTTCAAATTTTCAAATATTTAAAATTTAACATTTAAAAATTTCAAATACTTAGTTTTTTAGGGAATATTAATTTTTGGATCGAAATTGTATTTTAATATGGTATAACTGCCACCATACTATATACGGACTATTGACATTTGTAAATCGCATTCGATATACAAACTACAAATGAGCTACCCCGTGAATTAGAGTTATATTTTTGTCCCTTACATAACTTTTTTACAGTTTTTGTTTATATAAATTGCAAACAAGTTTTCTACCATAACACGTAAGATGACATTCATGCTAGTTAGGCTGTGGGGTGTCGTTCTTTTTATTTTTTTATCGTCGTTATGCCTATGTGGCACTTTTTACAGGCGGTGAACACCGCCCCCTTCTTTTTGTTTTACCGATGGTAAAATACTGATGATGGATATTTACCGATGGCAAAAATCAATTTTGTGTGGGGTTTTTGTCGGTTTTATCCACAACACTTTAATCTACCACACTCTCATATTTTTTAGAAATAGCTAAAGTTGCAAAAATGTCCATTTCAAATACATGTCCATCGGCACCTCATAACCTTATCGGTAAATAGGGATGTCAACAGGGGCAAACGGGGTGGGGATTGCATTACCCGCCCCCACCTCCGAAATTTTCCTGTTCCCCTGCCCCCGCCCCCGCCCCCAAATCCCAGGATTACCCCCCACCCCCGTTTGGGTTGACTTTTTTTTTGGCGAACGAAGGTGTTGTTTAGGCTAAAAGAAGTTATTTTTTGAGCTAAAAGATACTATTTTGGATAAAAAATAGTTTTTTATAGCATAAGTTTATATATTTAAAATAAAAATATTATAACATCGTAAAAACGTTATACTATAAACTTAAAAACATGATATTTAATTGAATTTTGGAAGTTCAAAATCATTGTTATTATTTATTATATTTTTATAATTAATATATATTAATATAAATAATATATTAACGGGATCCCCATTGGGGGTTTGGGACGGGACTACCCACCCCCGCCCCCGCCCCCGAAACTAAAACGGGGTTAACATTGCCCCCGTTCCCACCCCCATCCTCGATTTTTTAAACAAATATTCCCCATTCGGGATCGAGGCCCCATGAGAATTTTTGACATCCCTACCGGTAAATATGTGTGAAGTTACCATTTTATATGTATTTAAGTATTCTTTTATTTATTTTTAGGTTTTTCTATTTTTGTTATTAAACATGTCACACCCTCTTGTTTTTATCTCTCAATTATCCATCTGTACAATCTCTCATCTATTTTATTTCTTTTCTCATATACACCAAAAACCTACATCTAAGAAATGAAAAATTAAATTTATTCTTAATTTTTATGCCTACAAATATTTATATCCATTAAATTTATAACATATGTCATCATTCCATATTTACTTAACTAACTATCATTAAAAATATTAAAAATATATTAGGAACATATCAAACAAAATTAAATGGATTTTCTAATATATGCCTAAGAGCACATATAAGACACATTAATTAATGATAAATATTATCATAATTAAACGTAAATTACATTAATTATAAATGGAATATTATAATAATTAAATGTGAAATGCATTAATAATCTCCATAATAAATGTATTTTGAATTTAATTATGGTAATGTTTTTCATAACTAATACTTCTTATATGTGTGTTTAGGACACATATTAAAAAATCCCAAAATTAAATTGAATGGTGAAACAAAGATACGTGTTAGTGGGTATGAATATTTTTAGATATAAAAGGTAGTTGTGAATTCATTTAGTTTGGATTGATAGTTATAGACAAATCTATAAGATGAGTTATATTTTTTTTCTAATAATTATTAATTAAGGAAATTTATAAGATAAGTTATACTATTTTTTTTCTAATAATTAGGTTCAGAAATATAAATAAGCAACAACTGCGATAGATTATCTAGATAAGCTTTAAATCTTTTGTGTTGGCATCACAAATAAAAACATATGAATGCATTGTATACAACATGTATGTTCCCTTGTTATTCACAACTCAAATTATTAAAACTTAGGTGACTATTGATCAAATATTTATCACCTTTGCTCTGAAGATTTTAAAAATTAATAAATGAGTAGCTTATTGGAATTAAACAAGCCTAAGTGTATTTTCACCCTATGAAACATAACCAAGCATAGTTTCCTTTAAAAACAAATTGAAAACCACGTTTAAAAGCAAAACATGAAGAATTGGAACCTCTACATGACTCTTCATCTATCTTATATCGGTACACCACAATCTTATAATTGTATATTTATATTTGAGTCACCATCTCTCCATAAAGGTTCTTTTAGAGAGATAATTTTGGAACCCACATCAATTGTACATGGTATCAGAGTTGGTGCCTACACCACCATTTCTTAACACATCCTTGTATATCCCATTGAGCACATGTTTATGAGGGGAGTCTTAGTATATCAACAATATCAAATGGTTCATTATATCTCTACGTATATTGGAGTCTTCCCTTTTCTCTAAAATAACCTTTTTAAAGAGTTAATATAGGAGTCTACATGTATCTTATTGATGGGTTTTGAGCCTAGTCAAAGACCAAAAACAGGGCAATGGAAATAACAGATCTGATCTAATAGACTCGAAAAAATAATCTAACTCAATAATGTTGGATTAGGTGTCTAAGATAATAGCTAATTTGAGTTGCTCTCAAAACTAGCAATTGACTAGAATGACTTTAAGATATATATATATATATATATATATATATATATATATATATATATATATATATATATATATATATAGAGAGAGAGAGAGAGAGAGAGAGACTGGTTTATTGATCTAATATATATGATTAATAAATAGCAATAAACGATTTATTAATATCTTATAAGATTAATATATTAATTAAAAGTAGTATTATTTAATTAAGAATTAATCAAAAAATAATTAAAATTAATTTTGGGGATTAATTTGATTAATTAAAAGCGTAAGGACTAAAGTTTTAATTGTTCAATAGTTGAACAAGAGATGAATTCTAGAAATATCCTAGGGTTTGCTGAAATTTGGAGGCTCCCTTAGGGTTTCTAGATTATTCCATATGGATAATATGGATAATTAAGAAACTAGATAATTTCGAATATGAAAAAGCATTATTTTATTTCAAATTAGGGTTTCTAGGGTTTTCCCATCAGCTATAAATAAGATCATTTGGCATCAAATTTTCAACCACTCCTTCTACCAAGAGAATAGTAGAAAATTTCGTACTATCTCCTCTATTCTTAAAGTTTTCTTAGTTGTTAGGGTTTGGGTGTGAACCATTAGAGGCATGAGATTTCTGGTGCTTGCTTTCTGGAAGCTTTTGAATAAAGGATTTGATTCTTTGCAATCATAATCAAAGGTATGTAAACCCTAAATTTTTATGATTTTCGATAATCCTAAGGTTTCTATAGGGTTCTTTGATGTTCAATAGATTCTAGCATTCAATAGTGAAAACATAGATCCAAATAGGTTGCATGTGAACTTAAGAGTTAAATTATTTTCCGCCACATGAATTTTTTTAACCTATAAAACTCATCAGTTGTATCAGAGTCATTGTTTTCAATTGAATATTCATAATAGTTGAATAGATCAAATTAGGGTTTATAGAAATTAAACCCTAAGGCTTGGAATTTTCGACCTAGGCTAGGGTTCTTTTTGAGGCTAGCCTCCTCCCTTGATTTCTAAAATCTTTGGGTTTGTTAGGATTTCCTTATTTGATAATTATTGTTTTAGTTGCTTCAAAATATAATAATTTAAATTGGATAACACAATGCCCTTAATTTTCGAAATTGAGTAGGGATTAGATTAGAATTTAATTTACATTATTTGATTAATTGTTTACTAGTAAATTATTATTTAATCTTTATATGATTTAAATTAATTAATTTAATAATTAATTAAAAGATAAAGAATAAATCATAATTAGTTTAATTTTAAATTAAATTAATTTTTTAGTAATTTCAAAATTTTAATATTAAACCTAGTATTTTAGAAAAAAAAAATTAAAATACACATTATATATATATATATATATATATATATATATATATATATACACACACACACTATTAAAAGTTTAATATATTTTATGTATAAGACAAGTCAGTAAAATTGGTACTATGCATCATTCATGAAGTCATACTATTAGGGGTATAAGGAAGTAACCTATAAAATGATCGTCATTGGGTGTCCACTCTCACCTATCACTCCCTTGTATGGTGGAGGTGATGGGTTTTGAGCACTCTAACAACCTTAAGGTGCGCATACAACCTTAAATCTTTTGGATTTATGTTTTCTCTAATTATACATGCAATTTGATTTTTCCAAAGCATTACCCTAACTAGCATACAAAACTTTCATACCTGTATAATAAAACTATTGGATTAGATGTCTAAGCCCATAACTATTATTGGTATGTACTCGACCCGAAAGTAGCATGGTCCATTTGGGTTGCACTTCA